ACTTGGGCATCTTGAACTTGCTGTCTCTGGCGGCCACCTCCTTGTCTGCCATGGTCACCTCCCCTTCCTTCTGTCTTTGTGCCTCTCTTGCAGTTGGCTGTCCCCATTCGGTGTGTAATTTTTCTTCTTGTTTTTCTCCCAGTGTGTCTTTGTCCTCTGTCTGCAGGGTCCACTCTATTACCGTGCCTCCTTTCTCCTGTTCCAGGTCCTTTGTGGGTCTTTCCGATGCTGCTCTCACTTCTCTTCTGGGCGACCACCCAAAGGAGGCAATGTTGAACTTCAGCACTGTCCTCCTGTCCTCCCTCCCTCCTTTGTCTTTGTCCTTGTCCTTCATCTCTCCTACTGTGTGACCTGTCTCAGCTTCCTCTGCTCCTCCTACCTCGCCTTGTGGCAAGTGCCCTGAGGGCTTCCTGGGAGCTGCCGGCTCAGGTCCCCGTTCCCTGTCTTCCGAAGTCCTTCCCCGCTTATCGTCCGGCACTGGCGCTAGGCCTCCTTCTGGGTCGTGCTTTCTTTGTTTGGAAACTTTAAACATGGGTGTTTGTAAGTTGGGGATTTGGATATGGAAATCTGCGTGGAGGCCCTGTGCGTCACCTTTGCCTTGCCCAGCGGATCCAGCAATCCCCACTTCTGCGTCTCGGGCCACCTGTCTGCGGCTGTCCACACCGTGTGCGGCTGAGCTCGCCCCAGGCCTCCCCTCGGACACAGCGTCCTCCTGGTCCTTTACCTCCTTTGTTTGTTTTCGGCCCCAGGACGCCATGCTGGCCCCTTCCCCCAGGGCTACCAGGGTGGGGGCACCAGGCTCTATGGGCAGCTCTGCCATCAGAGCAGGTGTCCCCTCCGGTCCCTCTGCCATCCGGTCCTCTGTCCTGCTGAGCACAGTGGCCTGGGCGGCCTGTTGTCTGTCCTCCCCGGACCCGGCCTCCTCTCCGACCCCGGCCTGGAGCGCTCCCCTCGGGCCTCCTCGGCTGGGCTGCCCCTCCAGCGTCGGGCCCTTCCCTGAGCCCATCCTGAATCTCAGGTTCAGAAACCTCTTCCTACGCGGACCGTCCGGTCCTGCCTTTGGCTCCCGCTCCTCCGCTGGGAGTGGGGCTTCCGTGTCTGTGCTGGTTGGGGATATGTTGGGGGTGTTCCCGCGCGCGTCGGCCTCGGAAGTACTGTGGGACCTCTGCGGTCCCGGTCTGCACTTGCTCGTTACGGACTGGAACTTGGGCCAGGATAGCCTCTCCTTCTGGGCCCGCCTGCCTCTGCGCCCCCTGGGCTTGGCGAGCAGTCTCTCCTGGTCTCCGCTTCCTTCCAGGGTCTGTGGGGGGGTCTCTGTGGAGCTGTCGGCCACATCTTTGTCCTGAAAGACAAGAGGCGTGAACTTGCAGGTGCTGGGACCAGACAGCTGAGCCCTGGGGCTCAGGGGAGAGAAGAGGGTGGTGTGGGTCCCCCACCTAGGCCTCAGCCCTGCAGGTGGGGAGCTCAGTGGGGCCCGGACTCCCGGGTTGCAGTGCCTCACCTGCTTCTCCCTGTCCTTCGGGCCAGGCTGAGCCCCCCCGGCGGCCGCGTCCTTGTCGTCTGGGGCGGGACGTTTCCGTCTGACTTGGAACTGAACCCTGTAGGGCTCCGAGTACTGCAGGATTTTGAGAGCGTCTTCATACTTAATGTTGTCGAAGAACACGGTGGCACTGAGCAGCTGGTCCCCTGGACAGACAGAGCCTCGGGTTGGTCCCCCGTCTCGCCACGACCCCGAGAGACGCGTCCACCGGGCCAGGTGAGGCAGGCCCCAGAGCAGGAGCCCCGCACCCCCTCCACAGAGCCCCACGTGGGTGGGAGGCCACCCTGCCCTGCACGGGCGGCAGCCCCGGCCTGGAGGTGGCCAAGCCATCTCAGCAGGGCCGTCCTGAGCACCAGGTACGGCCCATTTTCCTCCGAGTCCCTCCATCCTCAGGGAGACCGTGGGGGGCCCAGGGAGGGGCAGTCGAGGCACCTTCTCTCAGGCTGAAGAGCTTGGCCGCTGACGAGTCCTTCAGCACCTGCTTCACAAAAATGCCCTGGTGCCCGCCCCCTGTGACGCTGTAGCCGCTGGCTCCGGCTTCCACCTCGGTGGTCAGGGTCACCTCCGTCGCCTCCTGCACAGACCGGAGCACAAGTACATCAGGGCCGTGGCACGCTTCTGCCTACGCCACCATGGGCCTCAGAGCTGGGGACCGGCCGTCCCTGAGCACAGAGACCCCAGAGTCCCGTGCACCCTCCAGGTGACATGGGGCAAGCTTAGGGCCCCAGCCAGGGCCGGGGCTGTAGTGTCCAGGCCTCTGAGGGAGCCAGCTGCAAGCCACCTCCGGCGGGAGCGGCCTCCTCTTATCTCCACCCCCAGCTGCCAGCTCGCGGGAGCTGCTATCTAGGCCCAGTGGGCGCAGGAGCAAAGCCGAGGGCCTCCTGCTTGCATGGTGGCCAAAGCCTTGTCCATCCTCCGGAGCTCCCGCCTCCCCACCAGGCCCATCCCTGGCCTCCTTGCCTCTTTCCTGGCTCCACCCCAGCCCTGCCTCCCCTAAGCTGGGGCCCGTGCAGAGAGACCACCTTTCTGACGCTCAGGTCCTGCCACACTCACCTGTGGTCGACTCATTCTGGAGAATGTCCGTGAGTCCCCTGAATCTCGCTTCCACCAGGACCTCCGTCCCCCAGAGCCTGAGGAAGCCCGCTGCCTGGGTGTGTCCTCCTGCAGCCACAGAGGCCAGAGGTCATGCACCTGTCTAAGCCCCAGGCACGGGAGGGGCTCAGGAGACCAGGAGGCCCCAGAGCAGTGCTGTTTTCCAGGGGAGCTGATCTCATGGCTTGGGGGACGGGGCGGAGGGAGGTGACTCTTTGCCCTGGTGCTGCCTGACCGGGCTGAGCCCCCACCTCCAGGGCAGACCCCCCAGGACTGGGGTTTTGTGTGCAGGGTAAGGAGACACAGCAAGAACGTGTCTTTTAGGAAATAGTCCTGCTCCCACCCGTCCCCAGGCCCTCTCCAGGGACAACCCACGTACGCAGACATCCAGAGCACAGCCTCTCTTTCCCACACGCGCACACGCGTGCACAGTCTCAGCCACGTCCTGGCCTGCTGAAGGGAGGGGTTCCGGGCACAGGGCAGTCAGAGAGGATGGCAGAATGGGCATAATTGTGGCCCAGCAGGCAGCAGGGCAGGGCCGTGTGGCTGCACAAACGGGGCGGAGTTGTTCACACGGTGGCGAAGGAGACGTGGCCATCCGTGGCCCCACACCCGCACGCCCCCTCGGCCCGTGGGTCTCCGTCCCGCAGGCTTACCGGGAGTCCAAAGCTGGTGCCCTCGGCTGTGTATTCATACACGGGGGAGGACCCCTGTGGCCGTGGCCGAATGATGTCGTCGGCAGGCCCTTTGGTCTCCTGGCAGCAGAGAGAAAGCAGGCAGCCCTCAGCCTCCTGGGGTCTGAGCAGGGGCTGCGTGAGGTGGGCGGGTATCCTCCAGGGGCCTCACTTACCGAGGGGTCGTCTTCCGTTTCGGCCTCCGGCTCCTCAGGCTGCAGCTGCCGGCCGGACACTGTAAAGAGAGAGGCCGAGTCAGGGGGGCCGTGCAGGCGGGGAGACCAGATGGCGGACCCGGGGGCGGGGCCAGGCGTGTCCGTCCCTGCGCCGTGTTGGTGCCCGCATCACCCCATTCTGGATGTTGGGTCTGAGAGCACATGCAGGGCTGGGCAGGCTGTGACGCCAGGCTGGGTGGCAGTGAGCCCGCACGAGGGCAGCTCAGGCCAGGCGGCCTTCGGAGATCCAGTCCAGGAGAGTCACTAAGCACACACAGAGAGACAACACTCACCGCCCCGAGGGCCGGAGTCCAGAGACGCCGCGCCAGCTCCCCCACCACGTCCAGCATCCAGCCGGAGCTTACGAGCGTGCGGGGCAACGAGAGCGTCCGCTCTGTTCTGGGGCACAGGGCCACCCAAGCAAGTCTCCGAACGCCAGGGAGGAGGGACCAGGCGCCGACTTCAAGACTCGAGGTGGAAAATGCTGTGGCTCAGCGAGGGGAGGTTGTGGTAAAGGAACAGAAATTGTCAGAGGGCTACGTGGAGATTCTGGAGTTGAAGATGGACGACAGAGACTCAGTAGCAGAACGGACGCGCCTGGAGAAAGCATCGCAAAACTTGTAAATTAATAGAAATTAACCCATTTCGAGAACAGATGAAGAAAGACTGAAGGAAGCGGCCGTGCCTGAGAGCCAGGTGGAAGCACATTCAGCTCATCCGCACTCAAGGGGCCTGGGTGTCCGGGGGCGGGGGCAGGGAGGGAGAGAGGAGGAAGGCGGCTGGAAGCCTTGGCAGCGGGATCCAGACCCGACCCATCCCAGCCTGAACGTCTGAACGGAGGAGAGACGGGAAAAGTTTCAAAGCAACAAGGGAAACAAGAGCCACACAGGAAGGGCAGGACAGCCCAATCAGCCCCTGGTGCCCTGGGGGCCACGGGACCAGGAGGACACCCTCACGGTGCTGAAGGGAAAACACGGGGAAGCTAGACGTCTGGGTCTAGCAAACCATCTGGCACAAAGAAAGGCAAACGAAGGGATCCGCAAATGAGTAAAGACTGGAGAATCCACTGCTGGGGCGTCGGCCACACCAGCAGCGTTGAAGAAAAGGCGCGGTTGCCGGACGCTAACTCGAGTCCGCAGGGAGGACACAGAGAATGTGGAAAATGCCGCACACGTGAGCGAGCATCAGACACTATAAATACACGTTTTCCCTCCGTCCATGTCTTCTCTTCTTTAAAAGACACGAGGTTGTAGGAGGCGAGGGTTGGCAAAGTTTTCCTGTAGATGGCCAGAGAGTAGATAGATTAGGCTTTGTAGGCCACGTGAACTGTGGCCAAGGAGTGGCCGTGGCGACGAAAATAAGCCATGTGACCGTTGCAACAGACTTAACTCCCCAAACAAGCAGTGGGCAGGGTTCAGTGCACAGGCCAGTCTTTCCGCTCCCCAGGGAAGGCCGTCATCCCAGGGCCCCCTCGTTGGGATTGCCACACATATAGATGCGTTCCGTACGTGATGACTGCAGCAAGAGGGAGGGGGAGGAAAGCACGTATGTTGGATCGAACTTTTTGTATTTTACCAGAAGGAAGGAAATGTCGCTAGGGTTACAGCAGGGCGCAAGCGTGAACCATAAACAGGCCCAGGGGAATCTGGGGTGATGGGAACGTCCCAGAAGTGCCTCGTGCTGATGGTCACACAACTTCATGAAGTTACTGAGAATGACTGAACTGTACATTCACGATGGGGGGTTTTATGGTATATAAAGTATCCCTCTATTACGCTGTGAAAGAAAAATGGAATTAATTGCACAAAACAAAAGTAACAAAATGTAAAATTTACCATGTGTAGAAGTAAAGCTATGAAGACTATAATTTGGAGGATAGGGTTGAGGGGATAGAAGTTGCCATAAAGTTGTAAGGTTCTTACCTTACATGCGAGGCGGTATACCGCGATAGGTGCAGAATCCCTAGTATTAGCCATAAAGGAGCCACTGAAGAAGTGGCAGAGCTGATAAGCCAACAGTGGGAATGGGGTGGAACCCTAAACACACATTATCTGTAAGCACACATAATACATGTATGTATATCCATCTATAAAATGTATATTCCTGAATAGTTACATATGTGTAAATGAATTTAATTAATCCTAAAACATGGTAAGCAAAGAGGGAGAGAGGAACAAGGATAAAATAGAAAGCCATCAGCAAGATGGTGGGATTTCGACCAATTATGTTGACGATCACATTAACTATATAGGGACTTAAAATTCCAATCAAAGGAGAGAGATTGTCAGAGGTGATTTAAAGAGGCAAAACCTATTCTTACGTTCTGTATAGGAAATGGTCTATAAATGTAAAGATATAGATAGGTCAAGTGAAAGGAAAGAAAAGTATACACCATGCACTAACCATCCTAACATTTTATAATGATAAAAGGGATTGGGGGACCTAGGTGGCTCAGTCGGCTAAGTGTCAGACTCTTGGTTTCAGCTCAGGTCGTGCTCTTAGGGTCCTGAGATCGAGTTCTGTGTCAGGCTCCACACTGTTTACAGAGTCTGAGACTCTGTCCCTCTGCCTGTGCCCCTCCCCACTGTGCACTCTCTCTCAAATGAATAACCCTTTTTAAAAAGGGAATAATTAATAAAAAAACACAATAAATTTATGTCTGTATACACCTAATAACAGAGGTTACAAACAGAAAAGTGGCAACACTGACAGGACACTTAAATCCATGTGATAACAGGAAAGCCCAACACTCCCTTGGGTACAAAATAGGACAGGTAAGAACAGGTGAACCACCTGTGAATCAGTGAGACCAAACTGGCAGTTGGAGACCTGTCCACCTGCTGACAGCAGCACACACATTCCTCCCACGTGCACAAGACATTCACCAAAATAGACTATTTGTCTTGGTAAGTTTAGAAAAAAAAGGGGGTCACCTGGGGGCACAGTTGGTTAAGCATCCAGCTCTTAGTTTCAGCTCAGGTCATGATCTCAGCTCCGCGCTCAGCAAGGAGTCTGCTTAAGATCTCTCTCTCCCTCTGGCCCTCTCATGCACTCTCTCTCTTTCTCTCAGAAATAATTTTTTTTTAAAGAATAAAATAAATAAAATGTTTCAGTAAGTTTAAGACAATTGAAATCATGCTAGGTATTTTCTCTGATCCCCAGTGGAATCAAGACAGTATGATATAAATATAAAAGATTGATGAAACAGAACAGAAAGGCCAGAATCACCCCACACTTTGTGCAGTCGATTGATTTTTGACAAAGTAGCCAAGTCATTTCAATAGAAAAATGATCGTCTTTTCAACAAAGGTGCTGGGACAACGGGGTATGTGTTTGAAAAATAAAAAACAAAAATAATCCTTGACTCTCACCTCACATCACACAGAAAAATGAATTCAAAATGAATCCGAGAGATAAATGTAAAATGTAAAACTATAAGCCTTCCGGAAGAAAAACACAGGGGACATTCTGTACCACCCTGGGGAGGCAATGTTTTCTGAGACCCAGGGTGTGACCCACAAAAGAGTATGTGATAAATTACGTCATCATAATTAAATACTTCCGGTCTTAAAAGGCATTCTTAAGAAAATGAAAAAGCAGTGCGTAGATCTGACAAAGGACTTGCATTCCAGATAAACTCTGACGGATCAATAGATAAAGACCAAAAAAAAAAAAAAAAAAAAGCCCACCTCAATTAAACATGGGCAAAAGATTTGAACAGACACTTGACAAAAGAAAATATACTGATGTGCACTAGAAAAGATGGACAACTTCCTCAGCCATCAGGAAAATGCAAACAAAACCCAACAGACCAAAGACCCCAGAACCACACTCACAGATGCAACGTGGTGGGAAATGGATGGTCTTTGCAGTTACTTGCGTGGGTCCGTTGGCTATCCATGTGAAAAATATTAATCTCAACCCTATGCCAGCCACAGAAAGTACTAATTTCATGCGGATTGTAGGACCAAAGCAGAAGGTTTAACCATAAAGCTTCCAGAAGATAAACAGAAACGACTTTGGGAAGTGGAACAGCAATCCCTCCACATCGTGCCGAACTGGCCAGGCCTACAAGGTCCGGTGGAGAACTGGTCTACGGTAACTTGAAGAGCTTCAGCTCATCAAAAGGCAGCGCCATGGGAGTCGGCAGTGGGGCCCTGCGCTGGGCAGGGCCATGCAACACGCCTAACTAAACCGAAGCCTCCTGCCTGGAAAGTACGAAGATTTCTTGCCAACCAAAAGGAAAAGACCAACAACCCAACAGGAAAATGGGCAAGAAAACCTTGGAAAGGCAACTCACCAAGGAAGACATCTAGTGGTCAATTAGCACCTGAGCGCAGCGTGCTGGGTCCCGGGGACAAGGCCAGGAGAACCCTGCGCAAAGACGCCTCCGCCGGCCTAGGCCCCAGACCAGACCCCCCTCCGCGCCGCCCCCACTCCGCGCTCCCACAGGAATGGAGGAAAGGACCGAGGCTGACCTGCCGCCGGCTGCTGTCTAGCGTGGCGCGCGGGCCATGGAACACCCATCCTGAGGTGCGTGTGGGGTGACCTGGCGCGACCACTTTGGGAAAGAGCCTGGCACGTCTCCTGGAAGCGGAGTGGTCCACTCTACGGCCTAGCAGCTCTGCACCCGCGGACACGACAAAATGCACTCCCCAAAGGCGGGTACAGAAGAGCCCATCTGGGGCTCAGTCGGTGAAGCGACCGCCTTCCGCGCAGGTCATGATCCGGGGGGTCCTGCTCGGCGGGGAGCCTGCTTCTCCCTCTGCCCCTCCCCCTGCTTGTGCTCGCCCGCGCTCTCGCTCTCCGTCCCGTTCAAATTTGTACAACTTGTACTCTTTTCAAGAAAGAATTTTTGAAATTCTCCATGAAACTGAAATGAGGAAATGGTCAGCTTCATGCCGATGAGTCGGAACATCCCGACGAACTAGAGGGATCTGTCGAGAAGCGCGGCCGGCGCAGGGCCGAGAAGTGGGCCGTCCGCATGGTTCCGTCCTGACCGGACAATCACATCCTGTTCACCGCCTTTCCACAAACACGACTCCAGCCCGAGCCCCCGGAACTGGGCCACATGTTCCACGAAGACACAGCAGGGAGGGACACCAGCTCTGGCACGGGGGCCTGGGCTTGGGGACGCCCTCTCTGCTGAGGCCTACACTGCCCGTGATGAGGGGACGAAGCCCCTAGCCCCCCAGCCAGCAGGGCGCCAAGTGGGAGGAGCGAGTCCCTGCCCCATGGGGTGGGCACCCAGCCTGGGGGACTGGGCAGGTCCCTGTCCCTGCAGAGCGGGTAGGGGAGGCCCCGCCCCCACAGGAGTGTGGCTTTGGTGACTACTCTCCGGCCAAGCCGCTGCGTGACCCCGAACAAGCCTGTCCCTTCTCCAGGCCTTGATTTCCCTAGGGACGTCTGAGGGCCGGTGTGCCCACCCAGAAGCCCCAGGGGGACTGCCAAGATGGGGAACGGAGAGTCGGGAGCAAGTCCCTCCCTCTGATTCCAGACCTCGCCTCTTCTCCTGGGAGCTGGCTCCCCTGTTTGGCAGCTAAAGGCAAGCCTCAGTTTCCCTCCAATTCTGCCCAGGCCCGTACCCCCAGCCCACGGTGGGTATGCTGTGTGTAAGCAGCGAGACGTGAGAGCCGGGCCTGGAGGAGGGTAACCCTCTTGCCCGAGGTGGCTCGCCCCCAGGAGGCGGGGTGCAGGGTAGGGCTGAGTCCAAAAGAGGTGGGGCGCACCGCCAGCGGGCAAGGGACAGCAGTGGGGGCTGCATGGAGGAGGTCTGGTCTGGGGTGGGGCCTTGGCCGGCGAGTGGAGGGGCTCAGGCAGCCCCACCAGCAGAGGGGCTTGGAGAGGGCTGCCAAGCTCCCCCGCCTGCCCAGAGACCCGGCCACCCAGCCTGGCCCGCCCTCGACCATCCTCCACTGCCAGCCCGGCTGCAGCGCTTCTGTGAGTCAGACAACAAAACAAGGGCGGGGTACCGCCCTCTCCCAGCAGGCAAGCAGGCGTGTTCCCCCGACCCCGTCCCGCCCCCAACCCCCGCTGGCCTGGGAAGGGGACCCCAGGCAGGCACTCCAGTTAGGCGCCCCGTGCTGGGGAACTGGGGGGTGGGAGGCCCCACACCACAGTGGAAGCATCCGTGGTGGGGCAGCGATCCCCGGCACCAAGAACCTGCACCCCCAGATCTACTCCAGAGGCGTCAAGGTGCAGCGTGGAGGCGGGGCCACACCCTGCGCTGTGGGGAACCTGAGCCGGGGGTCCCTGCTGGCCCTGCTCCAGCCGCCAGCCCCGCTGTGGCCCCGCGCCACCACCACCCCTGCCCCGTGACCCGCGCCCACTGAGAGGCGAACAGCAGGGTCCAGGAGGAGGCGGGACCTGCTCCGCACTCGGTTCCGGAGGCCACAGCGCTAGGAGGACGCAGGCGGTGTTTCAAGCGCTGGGTCCCTCTGTGCCCCCCTCAGGCAGGACGGCCACTGGCCAGCACCCGGCCCGGGACGCACAAACAGGAAGGAGGAAATCCTGCCCGCCTGCTGCGGGGCCAAGCTGCCGGAGCCTGCCAGCCTTGGACCTGCTCCCTGGGGAAGGAGGAAGAGGCAGCCCAGGATCCCCCACTGCATCGTCCTATCTGTCCCCATCAGCCAAGGCCCTCCCCCCACCCCACCTCTGCCGTGAGCACAGGGCCGGTGACCCGCCAGCCTGACCCGGCCCCCTGCCCGCTGCGGCCCCACAGACAGGCTCCGCAGGCAGCCCGGGGCGGTCGCCTCAAATAATGACTAATGACAACCAAAGCCCCACCTGGCAGAGGAGGACGGGGGCTTCCCCACGCCCCGTCCCGCTGCTGGGTGCAGGCCCTCACCCTAACCCTTCCAGGCTTCAGACGCTATTGCCGTGTCCAGCGCCCACCGGGGCTGGCATGACGGCTCAGGCCTCACGCACCCTGGCGGTGAGCGCCCAAGCCTTTCCGGTGAGTGACGAGGGTCTACGCTCCCAACAGCTCCACTCCTCAGACCAGGGGAACGTTCTGGGAGAGGGCAGAGCCAAGGTGGGGAGGTATGCGGACTGGCCAGGTGGAGGAGGGGGCAGAAAGGGGGGCGCTGGTCCAGGATGCCCTCCCACACTCACCTCACCCGGGGGCCCCAGGCCTGCCCGGGGACTCTCCTGCCAGAGGAGGCCGCCTGTGGTGGGGCCATCTTCCTCAAACAAAACCCGAGTTTGCATGGACCCTGGCTGCCCTCCAGGGGGCCATAGGGTGGGCACGTTTGCATGTCACCAGGGCAATGGGGGGCCTGGGGGACTGTGAGATGGCAGGGAGGACAACTGCAGATGGGGGCTGAGAGGTGCAGTGTGTGTGTGTGTGTGTGTGCACGCCCATGAGGGCGTGTGCGTGGACCCGTGTGCCTGGGCCTGGGCCCCTCCCTGGATCTCCAGAGCACAGTCCCGGATGGGGCCCCCCCTGCTCTCCCAGGCTGCCCAGGGAGCTGTGGGGGCGGGAGCCTGTGAGGCAGGCTCCCTGCTCAGGGGACGCTGGCCTTAGGCTTAGAGCTCAGTGCCCACACAGGCGCACAGCACGCCCAGACCTCACCCTGTCCTGGAACCTCACGAGGAAAGTGCTGGGCTCGGCTGATGGGTCATGAGACCTTCAGACTTCCCAGAGCAGCAACCACAGGCAGTGCGGGCCTGCCTCCCCTCCCTGCCCCCCTTCCCGGCTTTCTTAAGGTAACTCTGTGGCTTGGGGAGGCCAGCCCAGCTCCCGCTCTGTCCCCAAGGCCCTAGCCTGGCTGCCTAGGCCTGCCAGGGAGGGTTGCCGCCCCCCACACCTGCTCCCACTGCTGCCCAGGCTGCACCCAGGACAGGTCCACATCAGCCGGCATCACTCCCGGATGCCCAGCCCGCCCACAGCTGCCTGGGCCCAGGCTTCCCCCAGTCCCCAGCCCTGGCACTTCTCACTTGTGGCTTCCCCTGCCAACTCACAGACCCGGCATGGACACCTTGCCGTCACTTCCCCTCTGGTCCCAAGCACTCAGAGCCCCGGACACAGTAGGTGCATAATGAATGCTGGTGCAGAGAGCAGACAGGGAAAGGAAGGGAAGAAGCAGGGCAGATTTCCAGGAAAGGGGCGAGCCCCACCCAGTCTGAGGGTGCAACCGAGCTGTGGAACCGGGAGGGCAGCAGTGGGCTTAGCATGCCTCCTTCTGTACCTGGAGAAACTAAGGCAGGCTTGCCCGCCTACCCACACCAGAGGGCCCAGCAGCCGAAAGGAAAGGCCTCACCCTCCTGCCCATCCCAGATACACCAGTGGGCCTGGGCCTGTTTCTCTGAGCTGAAAAACCCATACCCCAGACGTCCTGCCTACCTGTCACGGGCCACCTGCCGTGAACCTGGGCTCCCCAGACCTTTAGGGCCCTTGGTGCACCAAACAAGGACAGTGGGCATCCCCAGAGGGACCCTGCCCGGCCACATGGTCCCACCTCAGGGATCTGCCTACCCTGGGACTTCAGGGGCTATGCTGGAGCCCTTGGCCCCCAGGAACTGAAGGCCTGTCCCTCCAGCATGGGCTCGGACTGAGGCAGGGAGGAGGGTCGGGGAGACGACAGCCTGGTTTAGACCCCAGCTTGAGCCCCCCACCCGGCCCCCACAGGCCTCCTGGGTGGTGAGGTGGGCAGGCACACAAGGGCTGGACCCAGGAAGGGGACTGGCAACTGGGGGCTGGCTGCTGGGTACAGGGGGCAGGGGGCTGCAGGCTGCGGGCTGGGAGCAGGGGGCAGGGAGCTGCAAGCAGTGGGCCGTGGGCAGGAGCAGGACAGAGGACAGCTGCAGTGGCTTACCCAGGTTGATGTCCTCCCAACTTGCCCAGAAGTGAAGATTCCAGCTGAGCTCTGTCCGCCGCCCTCCCGGGTCCCTCCCCTCCACAGCCCTCGCTCCATGGCCCGCCCTGGCCTCCTCCTCAGGCAGGCCTGGAGCCCCGCCAAGCCCCCCTCCTCGCCCCAACAGAGGGATGGGCAGCCCCCTCACAGGCCCGGAGCTGGGCCAGGCCCCGCCCCCAGCAGCTTCAAGGAGCTGGGGAGCCCGCCCCACCCCTAGATTGCCGCCCCCCCCACCCCCCCCACCCCCCGCCCAAGCAGCTGACTGGGAAAGGAAACGCCCGCCTGCCTTGGGATGTCTGAGTCACTACCACCCTCCAGTGCAGTCCAGTCCAGTCCTGCTGTGTAGACAGGTAGGCAGGCCCAGATGTCAGATAGGATCCCCCCACCCCAGCCAGGTTGTTCATGGGCCCCGCGCCTCAGTTTCCCGGTACGTGCGGGAACAGAGGCTTGGGGCTGGCCAGGCTAGGGGTGCAGGGAAAGGGAGGCACGGCCCGAGGGGTAGATAGGCCCTCCCAAGACAGTCCTGCGATGGGCACTCATCGTGACTCCATCTGCGGCGCGAGGGGGACACAGCCCCTTGGGCTCTGTGGCGACCCCTGCCCAGGGCACAGCCAGCCCTTTCCGCTGCACAGACCAGCAAGGCCAGAGCAGGGACGGCCCAAGCCCAATCATGGCCCGGGCCGCTGGGTGCCCTCAGGGAAGCCCTGCTCATCCGCCCAGGTCCCTCGGGGGCAGCCTGACCCCGCCCATGTCCCTCAGGGGTCCCCTTCCAGCCCCCCAGCCCAAATTCAGCAGCTACCACTTCCCAAAGCACCAGAGCCTCTGCTGAGCTGGGTGGGGCAGGCCCTGGAACCTGCATTTCTAACCCCCTCTCCAGTCATGGGGCTCAAGTGCAGGCCGAGGAGCGTGGCCTCTGAGTCATCCGCTCCCTGGAGCACTGCCCACCTGGCCTGTTACCTCTTGTCCCCCGCCCTGCTGACCCCCAAGACTCAGCCCTGATGCTAGCGGCCAAGGCGGCCGGGGGAGGAGGCAGATTCCTGCTCCTAGGCCCCTCCCTGCCCCAGGAGCCCTGGCAGGCCCGGGCAGGACTCTACAGGCTGTGCCATCAGCAGATCTCTCACTGGGTCCCGG